TAATAATGAAATGAAAGAATAGTGAGTGCATGAAAATATTTACTGTTTCATAGTAGAAAATATTGCATTATAAGTAGCAATTTAAATGTAAGTATGCGAGATGGGAAGAGAGGAACAGTGTTATCCCTAGTAAAAACCTCCCTACAAACACCTCTGAATTATTAATTCAGGTTAGATGCAGGAAAATTACAGAGTACAGCACTGCTTATAATTTGAAGATGTAAATATTCCATTTTAGCCTCATTTGCAAGAAAATGCTTGATACTTACCTAAAAAATAATTTTTTATGTTTTGTCTTTGAAAATATTTTATCTTAAATCCTTAAAGGGCAGTCAAGGTCGGATTGAAACATACACACTGTTTGATGTAATTTCTATAAACTAGCCCCTCACTTACACCCACTCCCAAGGACACTCTGCTAACACTTACTCTGCTAACACTGTGTGGCACGATTTCTCATGGGAAAGTCTCTCTGAGTCATGGTCTTCCTTCATTTTCCCTTCTTTACCATCTCAGTAGATTGACTTCTTGAAATCATTTTCCTTCTTGAGGAACTAAGTAAAAATGCCAGCTCTTTGGTACAGATTTTTAAAGAAACTTTCAGTTTCTCTTTACTTTTTATGTGCACTCCTCATATTTCTTTTGTTTTTGTGGTTTATTCTCTCTATATATTTTTCTCTCCACTTAGGTTATAAATCTTTCAATGCAGGTTTTGTGCTTTGAAGGTTGTATTCCCCAAAACACAAACCAAGCACAAAGCTTATTCCTCCTGGGAACATGCTACATATTTATTACCTTAAATTAATTCAATTCAATATCTGTACATGACTCTGTGAACATCTATCCCAAGAGAAGAAAAGAGAGCAAGATTTGTTGCAGGTGTATCTGATTCCATACCATTTGACCTATATGCCAAAATATTATTACATCCAAAAATTGATAGAATAAAAGTCAATATGATATTTTTAATGAATTGATTCACTTTCCTGACACAAGTATTAATGTTTGTGTAGATACCATTAATATAAAATTTGTCATGTAAATTTTAACTTCAAACATAATAAGCATTGCTATAAGTGTGGTGCCCCTGGCCTCTGGCTTTTTTAACTTAAGTCTCATGATGTAATTATCTACACACCAGTGAATATTTCTAGCTTTAACAGAATTAAATTTCATATATATATATATACATATACATACATATAGACATAATCACAAGGAAGTCAAATAAGCATTTTACATGTTTGTCTAATGTAATGCCTAATTTTTAATTTGGGATCTTGCCAAGTCCTGTATGTCAGTAATGTGTATGCATTGAAATTTTCTAAACTGGGATCTTTCTGATATTTTCTCTTTCTTGTTTTGGCTTTTTGACCATTGTCAATGTTGATGCATTTACTGTTATTGTACAAAGGCCCATTCCTTCCAGAACTCCCCAAGTGACTCATGAGAATCTCCTTGCTGCTATGTCATTGGTTTATGTATTAGTCACTTTCCTTTCTCTGGGATAAAATATCCAATATTCACAATTTAAAGGAGAAGAGGTTAATTTGGGTTCAGAGTTTCAGTGAGTTCCATCTCTGGTTGGCTGGTTCCATGGCCCACAGGGAATGGCAGAACAAGAAGATGGAGGAAAGCTATTCAGCACATGGCTGCCAGGAAGCAGAAAGTGAGGAAGGAGCCAGGGTTGAGCATACACCCTTCCAAGTCACCCTCCAGTGACCCATCCCTTTGACCAGGCCCTACCTCTGAACTTAAAACTTGGGGAACTTTTTAGATCTAAACATAACAGTTCCCAACAAAGTTACTCCAGGTCCCTGGCTTAACTTCTATGGAATGAGCTTCCATTGCTTCCTGCCAGTTATCTGTGCCACCAGGTTGTCAGCTAGTATCACTGCAGATGTGAGACACAGATTAATAGTTCAGAATTGAGTTTTTTCTCAAGATAGATCTCAAATTGTTATTCTAAGACATATTAAATTATGCTTTCATTCAAAATCTGTAGTTTTTGAAAAATAATTTCATTTAATCATGCCTCTGGCAACCTTTTAAAATGTTACTATTAATAATTAAGTTCTTTACCTTTATTAGGTAATCATATTCAGGACTGAAACTTTTTCTTCAAATCCAATATTAAATGAATTAATTATTTTGACTCAACTGGAAGTTTGAAAATGTAAAAGGTTATTTTAAATGTGTGACAAGAGGGCCAGGGATTTAGCTCAGTGGTTCCAGTGCCTGCTGGCCTCACAAGCTCAAGGTCACGAGTTCAATCCCTGGTACCAAAAAAAAAGAAAAATGTGTGACAAGAATTATCCTTGCACATCAAACCTACATTGTATGTATCAATGCATACAATTACAATTGTAATTAATATATTACAACTGTAACTAATGCATTACAATTGTAATGCATACATACAATATAATTTTTGAATGCTAATCCCATTAGCAATTAAGCACTTATATTGAGCTTTAAAATTCAATATTTTAAAAAAAATCTATCATTCATTTCTAGGTCAAGTTGACTCACATAAGTTTTAATTTGCTTTCTCCCCCAAAAGTCTTTGATATTACAGAAAAACTAATCCTAGAAAAACTGGAAGGATTCCTTCCGAGGACAAGGAGAATTTCTTAAATACATAAAACAAATGGGATTTAATTGGAAAGGAAACCCCACAGAGGTGAGCAAGTGACAACTCAATAGGAACTTCTGAAAAAAGAAGGTTTTCCAAATAGAACACCCAAAACCTCCCAGGATCACAAAAGGTCTAGCTTGGGAGCCAAGGCAGCCCCTGGGGCAATTGGCAAGGTAATTAATTAAAGCACTCTACCCCTGCTGTGCAGGGATATAATTCTCAGGAACAAGCTGAGGAGCTCTAATTAAATGGGGGACCTGCCTTAGGGAACTCCCAGGGAGAGTCTGGTGCCAGGAAGAGAAGTAGAGCAATGCCCTAGTCAACTTTTGCAGCTACAAAATTGAAGCAAAATTCCCTCAAAGGGATCAGTGAAACAATAAATAGTCTCTACATAAAAGATAAAAACTCCAATAGAAGCTATTGTAAATATGTTTAGAAACTTGGATGAGAAAACTCATCATCCGAATACAAATTTCCGAAGTCATAAAGAAAAGGTTGGCATATTTGACCATACTTTATATTTAGCTTTACCTTCTTTTTGACCAGATATAGTGTTAAAAAAGGTAAATGATGAAGGGTTGGGGATTTAGCTCAGTAGCACAGTGCCTGCCTGGCAAATGCGAGGTCCTGAATTCAATCCCCAGTACCAAAAAAAAAGGTAAATGATGAATGTGTGGCGAATATATACACTCATTTATGATGGAAAAACTATGACCTACTTAAAACACAAAAACTGCTCTAAATAAATAAGAAAAATATTAAATGAGAGTATAAATTCTTAAAAAAATTTCAGCTAACAGATATTTTCATAATTTTTCATGATCAAATAAAATCAATGAAATAATGGAAATATTTAAAATATATACATTGTTATACATTGATGATATTAGGAGAATAACACTATCATTAATCTTTATTTGAAAGTAAATTTGATTCAAAGTTTTTTATAGTAAAATTTGGTGGATTTTATCAAATATAGCATTCTATCTATAAAGTTAACAAAACTTATTCCTTTCTGCATGAGGGTGAATATTGAATTAACAAAATATCTGTCTTGCACAGAAAATGTGATAAAGGTAAAATGTCAGCAGTGTTACAAGGCTAAGTTGTGAGTTGTTTATCATAAACAATTTATTACAATCATTTCTGAAATCCTTCTAGATTGGTAGTATATAGATAGTAAGAAGCCATAATTTGGGTATCCCTGGGTGTTGTAAATCTCAGTGAAGGAAAATATCTTATTTTCCTCCTAGAAAATTGGGCTTTCTTTTCTGTATTCTATATTTCCTACTCTAATGAAATATGACACTTAATGTGACCTACATTAATCTTATAATCTTGAGCATGTAGACAGATTTGTTAAGATGTCTGGTAGCCACTGAAAACTTGCACAAGCCATTTGAATTCCTTACACCTAAACAACAATACATAGTAACATGTTTAGAATATGAAAACCTTATATGCATCCAGAAATAGCAGAAGTGAAAACTTGAATACATTATGTAATATTTTTTATATTCTAATAGAATGAAAAGGATTTGTGTCACTTAAATGTAAAAAAGCCCATGAAAAAATTGTTCACTGAAAAGAATATCCTGCAAAATAATATGTATTCATTCTTGTACATGTATATGTGTTTCAGTCTCTTCTAGGATTTGGGTTACTCTAAGCACCCACCTGATTGACTGGTCTCCTATAACATCTATCCTTTAACTCACAAAAGGAATCTCCAGTTTAGACTGGTTATACATTAAAATGATCAGAAAAGTTTTCAAATACCAATGTTGGAAGTGATGTCAGCAAGAATGTAGAATAAGAGGTATCCAGCCCTTTTTTAACCCCACAGGGACAAGATTTTGCAACCATCATTAGACAAAAGTGCCTTGGTGGAAGTCTTGGGTTTTAGGTAGGAGGTTGAGAAACACTGGTGGAGGCCAAAACCAAGGATAGCTTCTTTGAGAAGGCAAGCCCATGCCCATGGCAGGCTCATCAATCATAGTTCCAGCTACAGACTCACGTACAGTCCATTCCGCTGTGCACTCAGCTCTAGCCTTGCTGTTTGTAGTTTTGCCACCAGCCCCACACCCTTAGGGACACAGGAGAAATCCTGCATATCCTAGGTAATAAACCTATCTGAAGATACAAAGTTTGCTCCATGCACCCCTGCTTTGGATCCAAGAAGTACTCCCATGAGCCCAGGACCCAGCAGGAGAAGATCTTTATCAGCCGAAACCAGTATATGAAAATTAGAAGTCTTGTTGGCTTCTTCAAAGGCATAAACACCAATGTAAGGATATACAAATCAATAGTGAAGAATCAAGCAAATAAGATACCACCAAAGGTATGGTATAATTCCACTTACCCATCATAAAAACGTAGAGATCCACACTCTGCTTCCCATGGATCAGTGAGCTATGAGAGAACGTAGACAAATAATGAAGTTGGTAAAAACTATATGAACAAAATTAGAAGGCTAATTTTTAAAAAATAGAACAAAAAAATTGAACACCAAAAAAATAACCTGTAGAAATACTGGAGCTGAAGAATGCAGTAACTAAACTGAAATTTCCAATACAGATCACTAAATGCAGACTTAGTTATGCAGAAGAATCAGCAAACTCAAAAACAATTTATTTGAAATAATCCAAAGAGAGAAATAAAATGAAAAAAAGTATATACAACTTATAAAATACCACCTAACAAAATAATTCATGCACTATGAAATAGAGAAAAAAGCAGAAAGATATGCAAAGAAATAATGGCTTAGAACTCTACAAAACCACTTGGGAGTTATGGATGCTTTGATTTGTGAAACTCAAAATTCTCCAAACAGGTTGCAGTCAGAAAGGCCTACAGTGAGATATATTATAATTAAAATATCAAAAGCTGAAGAGAGAAATTTGCAATGAAAAAATACCTTGTCATATACAAGAGAATCTCTATAAGGCTATCACTTGACTTTTCAACAGAAAACCTGCCACCAGGAGAGAGTGAAATGACATATACAAAGTATTAAAAGAAAATCTGACAGCCAAGAATGCTTACCCAGAAAAACTGTCACTTAAGAATGAAGAAACAGATAAAAACTTTTCAAACAAACAAAAACTGAAGGAATTCATCACCACTAGATCTACCTTATAGGCAGTGCAAAAGGAGTTCAAGTGAAAGCAAAATCATTAAACAATGTGAAAGCATATCAAAGTGTAAATCTCACTGCTAAAGATACACACAAAAAGAAACAGAAAATAGTATACTATTATAATGTTGGCACATAAAACACATTTAACAAAAATGTGTAAGGGGTGATTGAAAACTACCATGAGTGTTTAAAAATACTTTATTACAGTAAAAACCACATTGTAATATGACACACACTTATTCCATTGTTCTTGGAACTTCCTGAAGCAGTTCTGGAATTACATTTTTGTGGGCTGACATCATTAACAGGTGTGATAAAAAACATGGTAAAAGTTGCTGCCAATTACCATTCAACGAAAATGTAGGCTCATGAAGATATTATATTGTCTCCTAACCCTCCTTATTCGCAGGATCTGTTACCATGTAACTTCTGACTCTTCCCCAAAGTCAAAATGTGCATGGACTCAGAACATCAAGGCAGCCATGACCATGCGACTAAAGACACTCACAGGAAAAGACTTTCCAGATCTTCTTCAGAAAGTGGCAAGATTGACAAGCTATGTGTATTTGAAGGCAGAAGGAGTACTTTGAGGGAGATTAATAGCGATGTCTCATTTACTGAAATTCTTTTAAAGACACACATGGTATTTTGTCATCATAGCTCATACAAATTAAAATAGAAAAGGTGAAAATTGCTATAACCACAGAAATTTATTAATGGATAATAATACAGAAAGAAACATAATCTGGCATCAATTACATAAAATGTAGAGAAGGTGTAGTCTTTGCATATTTGATTGAATTTAAAACACTATTAGTTTAAAATAGACTTTTGTGACTCATATGTTCAATGCGACTACCTTAATAATCAAAAACAGAAAAAACAAAAGTATGTTATATAAATAAAATATAAAGAAGAACCAATGCAGACCACTATCAAAAAAATCATCAACTCAACCAGAAAGATAACAAGAGGAGAAAAGAACAAAAAAAACCCTACAAATATGAAAAATATTAATAAACTGGACATTATAAACCCATACCTATTAATAACTACTTTAGATATAAATGGCATAAATTTTTTGACATGGACAAGTTGCTTGGTTTAAAAACAAGACCTGGCTGGGGATATAGCTCAGTGGCACCTTGCCTGCCTCAGGAGTGCAAGGCCCTGAGTTCAATCCCCAGTATGGCTAAATAAATAAATAAATAAATAACCCAACCATTCTATGGTGTGTACAAGAGACTTGCTATACATTTAAGGATACATATAATCTGAAAGTGAAGGAGTGAAGGGAGATATTGCATGTAAATGGTAGCCAAATGATATCAGTAGTGAGTGTGCACGTATCAGACATAATAGATCTTTGTGAAAAACAGTCACAAAAGACAGAGGTCTTTGTATAAGGGTACGGGTACTGATCCAACAAAGATAAAACAATTATGCATGCATAAAACATTAAAACATGTTTATGGATAGAGAAAATATAGACAGATCTAAAAGTAGAAATACATATCAACACAGTAGGAATGTATATCGTCTAGTGCTAGAATCAATAAGTAACAGAACTAATACAATGCACCCCATGACATGTACAGAACTTACTCTCAATAGCAGAGGAAAACATGTGTTCTCAAGCAAACACAGATCTTTCTCCAGAAAAGATTACATTTTAGGTCACAAAACAAATCTTATTATATTTAATAAAACTGAAATAATTTCAAATAACTTTTCAAAATACAATAAGAAGTCAAAAATCAGTAACTGTAAATGGAAGATTCACAAATATATGCACACTGAAAGCACTATTGCACAGCTATTAGAACAAACAGGATATCAAAATGAATTTTTTTAAAAAATTGAGACAAAAATGAAAATAATTTAACAAAACATGTGGATAAAGCAAGACAATAATAATAAAAGTATATTTTAAAAAGAATGAGGGCCTGGGATTTAGCTCAGTGGTGCCACCACCTGCCTCCCAAGTGCAAGGTCCTGAGTTCGATCTCTGGTACAAAAAAAAAAGGAAGAAATAACTTCAATAAACAATCTATTTTTATACTTCAAGAACTTGGAGGGGGAGTAAGCACAAAGGAAGGAAGAAATTATTACAGATTTGAGCAGGAAAAATCAATAAAAACTCAACTAACCTAAGAGTTGGGGTTTTTTTATTTTTGTTTTTGTTTGGTTGTTTTATTTTGGGAGATAGTTACTTGTTTTTATTCTTGCAGCGCTGGGGCCTGAACTCAGGGAACTTATCCCTGAGCTACATCTCCATCCCTTCCAATTTTATTTTTTTAAATTTTGAGACAGTTTCTTGATAAGTTACCTGTGCTGGCCTCAAATTTATGTTTCTCTTGCCTCAGACTCCCAAGTAACTGGGATTACAGGCATATACCACCTTACCTGGCTAGAGTTATTTTGTTTTTTTAAAAGATAAACAAAATTGACAAACCCTTACACATAAACAAAACCAGAGACGAATGGAAGACATTAAAACAGATGACTGAATAATAAAAAGATCATAAGGGATTATTACAACCCATAATACACTAACAAATTGAGGAACACAAAAGAAATGAATAAATTATTAGAAACATGCAATCTAGCAGAACTGACTCAAGAAGAAATAGAAAACATGTACAGAGTAATAAAATATGACATTGAATTAGTAATCAAAATCTTTCTAACAAAGACAACCCCAGGACCAGGTGAGCTCACAGACAAATTTCACCAAACATACAGGAAAATCCAATCTTTGTTAAACTCTTTCATAAAATAGAAGAAAGAACTTCAAAACTCATTTTATGAGTATAGGAGAGTTCAAAAATAGAGCCACACAAACAGCCCAACAATTTCGTGACATTTTTGACAAAGGTACTAAAATAAGTCCCTGAAAGATAGACAACATTTCAGCAATCGATGCTGGAGTAATTGGATATCCAGAGGCAAAATATAAGGCCTGACCTAATCCCCCACATTTCAAACTAACATTATCATAAAATGAATCATGGAAAAAAATAAAACTATTAGGAAAAGTTAAAAGACACTCTAAGGATTAAGAATATATAAAGAATACTTGGATTTGATACCAAAAGCATGATCCATAAGAGGAAAACATGACAAACCAAACTTTATCAAAATTAAAAGCTTCTCTCACTATGTATAAAATTCTGTAAAGAGGTAGAAAAGTGAATACATCGACTTGGAGAAAATATTTGTAAACTACACATAAAAAAGAAATTGCTCTAGAAAAAACTCTATGTGGTCACCAATAGAAGGACCAAAATCTATTTAAAAATGTAAACACATAGTTCCATGAAGAGATGCAAAGAAGCACATGAAGATACTTGGTCACCATACATTGATGACTGATATAATATGGTACGATGCTCTGGAAAACAAGTTGAAAGTCTCTTATAAACCTAAGACTGCAAAGATCAGGTAGTCCAGCCATTATATACTTGGGTATTCATCCCTTAAAATGAAAACATAAGCATACAAAAAGCTGTGCACATACGATTATACCAGTTTTACTTGTGAGATTAAAAAACCTGAAAACAATCCAAATGTTCTTCAATGGGTGAATGATTAAACATACTATTAAACATAATGCACTATGAACAAACTATCGATTAGCATACATACAACCTGCATAAATTCCAAAAGATTACAGTGATCACTGATTATACTACATCAAGTTGACTTCAGGAAGAACTGCCTAGCGGATTAGTAAAATTCTGCGCATATCTGAAAGACTGACCTGTGGCCTAGAAAACTTAGCAGGGAAACTCACCTCAGATGGGTGCAGCACCACCCAATAAGCTCGTAGCCTGGATGAAATAAAAAGGGAAAGAAGAAGGAAGTGTTCCCTTTTAGGGAGAACTCCAGTCTTCGCCACTGCATTTGGACTCTGATCTCCAGTCGTGCCAGTCTTCGAACTCAGACGAGCACCTACAGTGATTCTACAGTGAGTTTCCAGGCCTTCAACGTTGGACTGCCACTGGATCCTCTAATTCTCCTGTGCACAGACCACATTTTGGATTCCTCTACTTCTGATCCGGCAGACAGCCATCATGGCTCTTCCACATCCGAGCCCATAAGCCTATCTCATAAATCCCTTTGTGTAATTGCACATGTATTTTATATTTCTTCTGTTCCTCTAGGGAACCCAAATATAATTACACACTCTTTAATTCTAATTATATAACATTCTTCATGACATAATTAGAGAGGTGGGGAATAGTTGCCAGATGCTGCTGAGAAAGGAAAGGAGGTGA